AAAGAACAGGTCATGACAAGCGTTCACCTAGAATAGCTAAGCGCTCATGCACGAGCTGTGCCATCAGACCTTGCTGGGTAGCTGCAGAGAATAGACAGCGCAGCTAAAAATAGCCTTTCTTTGCAGTGTTTTTCCAGACTATTTTTGATTCTTCATTTTGATAAGGTCGACTGGCTATTTGCTAAAAATAACCAATCCCAGAAAACTGAAGACAAAAAGTTGAGTCTTTATAACCATCTCAGACTTTATAGTACATTTGTCAGCTGCAGATAATCTAGGATCTTGTCATTGGTTGGCAGTGTTTTATGTAAGGCGGTAATAAATAAAGCATTAATTGGAATGAAGAACAAATCTATCTTGCCACCTTGATTTTCTCAGATGAAATACATGTCTTTTTGTACATATATCCTTGCAAGTTATCTTGCCCTGTTCTTCATGATGCGGTCTGAAATTGCTTCAGAGAGAATCAAAAGAATCTCCTGTTAGGTCACCCAATCTTACAAAAATAGCTGCAAATGCAATTATAAGTTCAAAAGTGGCTTTACACTTTTGCATGCCTGATACTTTAGATGCAGAGATTTTCGTGGGATGACTCATGTAGCTTCCTCCATGGGAAGGTTTTTTATCCAGCGCTTGTGTGCCACCATGCCTCTGATGAAATGAAATCACCGCTCTGCCAGCAGCACAAGAGCGACAGAGGGACACTGTAACCAAGTAACTGGAGGAGGACTGCAGAGAAATTGTGTCTATAAATGATAAGGCAGATTTCAAGAAACTGGATGCTTGGGGGGCATGGGGGAAGCACACAGCAGTTAGCCCAGCTGTACGTTCTGTTGGATGCATTCTAATAGAGACAACAATTAAGGAATTAACATTTATTTAGGAAAAAAGCTATCATACAGTTCATGGAGCAGCTGTCCTTATTTAGTTAAGGTAGAGAGCTATTAAGTTTTTAGTGAGTATTTTTCCTTACAGATATTTTGCTTGGAATCTATTCAGTTTCTGTAGGAAAAAAAACTCATCTTCACAGTTTTATTACTTAAGTATGCATGGTCCTTCATAAATACTTCTCTAAAATGGGCCCCACCTATGCTGTTTTACTGCAGTGTCACACAGGTTAATAATGTGGAGATTCACAGATTCTCCCCTCCCAAAAACAGGGACATAGCAAGGGTAGACCTTAAATGTATGTTAGGGAAGTTTCTATGACCGAGAGCTGTGCTGTACAGGAAATCTCCACCTCTAACCTGAGAACACTGTACATTTCTCTGGAGTAGAGAGAGAAAGGGGAAAAAAAAAAGAGGGAAATGGAACACAGCAAGGACCATGAAACCATCCAGAATCCTCTCTGTGCTCAAATGAATGGTAACCTGAACACAAAAATCATATGTAAAGTGGACTTTATAATCTTGGCTAATTACAACGGACACAAGCAATGAAGGCACAGTGTTATACTTGATGGCATTTTATATTTTAGATGAAATGTAGCAGTTTTAGAAAATATGGATCTTACTGGCTTAATCATTTCAGGTACTGCTCCGTTTGCCTGTTGCTTGACAAGCTGGTAAAAGAAATTCAGGGAGAGACAGTCCTTAATCATCTATCTATCTTCTTTTTTTTTTCCTTTAGAGATTTGCCACACAGGGGAAAAAAAGACCATTAATAATAATGATGAGAAATAGTGAGCAGAAAGAGTATCTAACATGGAAGTAGCAGAAGGAACAAATCATTTGTACAGCCAGAGGCTCTGTTTTTTTCTATCAGGGTATTCTGGTGAGACCGCATCTGGAATATTGTGTCCAGTTCTGGGCCCCTCAGTTCAAGAAGACAGGGAACTGCTGGAGAGAGTCTAGCGAAGGGCTACAAAGATGATTAAGGGAGTGGAGCATCTCCCTTATGTGGAAAGGCTGAGGGAGCTGGGTCTCTTTAGTTTGCAGAAGAAGAGACTGAGGGGAGACCTCATTAATATTTATAAATATATAAAGGGTGAGTGTCACGAGGATGGAGCCAGACTCTTCTCGGTGACAAACAATGATAAGACAAGGGGTAACGGACACAAACTGGAACACAGGAGGTTCCACTTAAATTTGAGAAGAAACTTCTTCTCAGTGAGGGTGACAGAGCACTGGAACAGACTGCCCAGAGAGGTTGTGGAGTCTCCTTCTCTGCAGACGTTCAAAACCCACCTAGACGCCTTCCTGTGTAACCTCATCTGGGTGTTCCTGCTCCGGCAGGGGGATTGGACTGGATGAGCTTTTGAGGTCCCTTCCAATCTCTAACGTTCTGTGATTCTGTGATTCTTACAGCAAACAAGAGTCAATTTAACTTCTATATAGATATACACAGGACTTTCTAAATGTTTACCAATTCTTTTCAACCAGTAAAGGCTATTTTCATAAGTTACAGGGTTTGTACAGTCAAATAAAATGTTGCTTATTCCAACAGCAGTCTCATAACATCACATTTCTCTCTAGCCTTATTTCCAATTATATTTTGAGTTTCTCTGACCAATCTAACATTCCTCAGTGAAGAGCTCCTTGGGCAGGTGTTAAACGTGAAAAAAGCATGGAAAATATTCCATGTCACAAAGTGTGTGTCTATCCTGTTGAGTTACAGCAAGCTCAGATGGAAGTGACTGTGGGCCATATATTATTAGCTGTGAAGATTTTGGAAGTGTATTACACCGTCTTTCCTACGCAGAGGTGTGCTTTACTAACTGCTTCCAGAGACAGTATAATAAACCCGCTTTCTGAGCAGTAAATATCTATGGCTGAAAAACAAATTATATTAATTGTTACTATTGTATATTAACATATTCCAACCATAGGAGTAACCAGAACACAAAACCAAAATAAATTAGGAGTAATTAATGGGTTGAGTTTGTTACGAGAATCCCCTGAAATACCAATACAACTAATGCCAATACAGTCTTACCTGGTTCTTCATTTCAAAGAGCTTTCTCCCTACACTTTCGTTACTGAGACCCTACTTGGGATACATAAGAGGGCAGTCCAGTAAATCCATTTGTGTTTCAGGCATGCATCTGACCTTCCATTCCATTAAGGAGACCTGTCTTGTGCTATAGCTTTCTTTGTGGACACCCAAGAGCAAATGGAAAATAAATTATAATCAGCAAAGAATGTACTTAAAAATATTGCACATGGACAAATGCCAAACTAATAAGCCGATAGGATGCTTATAACTATCCCTTATATTCATCTTACCAGTTTCCTCACCAGCCTTGCCCCATCGCTGGCATCTGAGAGAAGGACTGGTTACTTCTAACAGCTGCCACACGCAGCACCGCCTTCTCCTCAGCCACTGTCAGACTCTGCTTCTCGCTGTGCAGGCAATTCTCCACCATCCCCTCACCAAAGTGCAGTCACATCAATTATTTGCTGCCTATGCTTTTGCCACTCATCATGACACACCCATCTGCCCAAATCTACGATGCCCAAGAACAAAATCAACAGATTATTTGCCGCCTATGCCTTGGTAATATCGTTTACAATACAGACTTATGCTTTTGCCACTCATCATGACACACCCATCTGCCCAAATCTACGATGCCCAAGAACAAAACCAACAGACCTACAGTGGTACTGCTGTGAGCTATCAGTCACTGACATCTCACCTCACAAACAGGTGTCTTTTACTTGAAGACTGAACCAAAGAGTAATATGAATTTCCTGTTAACTCTCAATACTACCCTCCTCCTTAATGATCTACAGAGAAGAAACCTAAGCAAGATGCATGTATTTCATGGGACCAAGGTTTTTTTTCCTGCCTTTCCAATTTCACATTGGACGCTTGTTCAGATGATCAAGTTCTCCACTTGTGTCAGTAAATTCCAACTGCAGTGACAGTGCCGAATTTAGCCTAAATTGTATCGTTCGCCTCTCTTAACTCATTTTATAAAATCAGTAAATTCCAACTGCTGTGACAGTGCAGAATTTAGCCTAAATTATATCGTTCGCCTCTCTTAACTCATTTTATAAACAGATTCCATAATGTCACCAGGATGAAATTTTGTTACTTTTAGATCAAATTACAGCAGGAGAAAGGCAGACTTCCATTTAGCTTTCATGGGCTATTTCCTTGATTAATGCGCATTAATATGCATGCACAAAAAAAAACCCAACTTAAATTCCTTTAAGATACCTACAATTTTGTAGTGCCAGAAATTAAAGAGCCTGGTATCTGTGAAAGAAGCTTTTCAACTTAAATACTTTATCACCATCATACAGTGTCTTTTAAAATGGAAAAGACAGGGATAACAGTGAAGAATACTGTTTAGTCAAAAAAATTACCCTGCAAATTGACAAACATAGCTAAAAAATTGCCTTAATTACTCTGATAGCGGTGGACGATGCCACCTTGGAAGCCTGTGGACTTAAAGCAGTGGTAGAAGCAGAATTCTCTGCATTTTCCTGCCAAAATACCTCACTGCTAACCAGAAGGGATGAACTTTCAGGAATAGGAAGGCTGCAGAAAGAACGTCTACTTCCAATTACCTCTCTGTTCTTAGCTGTTTTGCAGACACTGTGCCAAGAAGCCAATGGATGCTGTTTATTTATAGGAATGCAAAAAAAGAAGAATAGAAACAAAACCAAGCATTTCACCAGCCTGAGGTTGTTGGATACCTCTGATCTGAGGTCAGACTGGAAACCAACTAAAATTGAAAACCTTTACAGAACTCAGACTGGATGACCACAGTCCCAAGAGCCTCACCCATACATACCCTTATTTACCCTTAGCTGAGGCAAAGTTAGGGCTGACACTGGGTTCAATCTCCTAAAAACACCTCTTTTTGAAAGCAGTGATCTTCTGGCCCTGAAATAGTTACATCCGATCATCATTCAGGAAAAAGGAAACTTCACACATTTTAACTATCTGAAGTCTCTCTCTTCTTGGAAA